GGGGATTTGTTCAGGTACAGGACTCAAGATTGGAGATTTGCATGTGCCTTCGGTGATTTGGAGATTTGAAGTTTCTTTTAAAGTATTCTTGTTTACATGTAAGTGTTATCATGTTTAAGTTTTACTCTTGTTGTTGTAATATTTAGTTGGGCTCAATATGCCATTTTTGCTTTATGACATGTAAAGTGTAATTAAATACACTAATTGAGACCTATTTGATGTGTATATTATGGCCAACGGCTTCCAACTTTTAAATCTAAGTGTATATATTTAAATTCCAAGTTTTACCTTTGAAATATAATTTTTCTAACTTGAAGGTTTGACATGTCAAATTTTGTAAATGTTATGTAATGAGGCCATGGGCCATTGTAACACATCTCAATATGTAAATTTCACTTGTTGGCATGCTTATATAGCTTAAAATCTTGTGTTTTGGAGTTTGAGGCATGGGTGAAGTCTCAACAATTCTTGCTCATAACAGGAGTTTCAACACCATTTCGAGGAGTTTCGGTCGACTGAAACTCCAGTTCGGTCAACCAATGGCCTATTTCGGCCTACCGAACCATGCAACCCTCAAAAACCTGCCTTTAGAAATGTTTCTATGAGTTTTGGTCGACCGAAACTCACCCTACCTCTATTTCGGTCAACCAAAATAACCCTCATTTGCACAGCTCTTTAGTTCAATTTCAGCATTGTTGTTCCGACTTCAAACGGCCATAACTTCTTCATTTCTAACCCAAATGGGGTGATTCTTGAGTCTAAATTCATGCAATTTGAGTCAGCTTTCCAATGGTATCAATTCCATTCTTAGATTCAAATCATAATGAGAGTTATTCATGTTTTAGTGAGAGGGTATCCGTTTTTGCTTAAACCGGGAAGGGGCATTTTTGTGGGATTCTTGTCCAATGTTCTTAGAACCTCTTGGAACATTGTGAAATGATTAAATTAGGTTGTATTCACCTTGTTTGACTTGTTTAGAGTCAAGTTTCTCTCTTAATTATGAATTGACCTTTTTGCCCTTTTGATAACGAATTTTGTCCTTTTTGACCTTTGTTTCTGCTTTTGCTCTCTTTAAGTCTCATGATCTCATGAAAGGTCACATTGGTGTCTTAGAGATGGTTTATATCTCTAAATACTTTGGTTTATCTTTTGCTTCCGCATTTCGGATCCGTTACCGGATCAATTTTCAGTTCATCACTGACGCACCGGGTTGAAAAACTTGTGCCGTCACAATACCTGGACAAAGCTGTATGGATCCGATCTACTCTCTTTAAGCCAATACAGTGCCGCCTCCTCTCAGTCCTCAGTGACCTCTGTATTTCAGTGGTTCCGTTTCTGTATATAATAGACTAATAAGTGATAACAATTAGCTTTGTATTTTACTATTTTATAATTTATAGAATAAAATCATTAAATATATAAAGTTTCTATATTATACTTGGGCCAGGCCTGGCCAAACAACCAAATTAACCAATAAAATAAAGGCGCAAAGGACCAACACTATAAAGGCCCGCCTAAACATCAAATTTTATAGAATCGTGTAGAATCGTACGATTCTACGATTCTACCACCGATTCTACCAATTAAGCGATTTTGCTAAGATTTGACTCGATTTTGAGTTCTGAGTCGTAGAATCGTGCGATTCTACGACTCAGATCGCGATTTTGATAACTATGACTGTAGTGCGGGAGGTATGAGGTCTCCCTAATTATAATGGCCACTTGGGTAGTTCCTTGCGGGTTAATAGCCCAGAATAGGTAATTTGTCTTGGTTGTGATGTTCATAACCTAATTTGATGTCCAAGATATTCCTATTATGTGATTTCGTATTTCGTTTTCAAGTTGACCATCTTATGTACTTATGGCTTGGGATTTTTGGTTTGGATGTTCCAACCTTGACAATCATTGTGTGATTTCATATTTCATTTTCAAGTTGACACTTTAATACAAATGTAGCTTAGAGAATTTGGTATTGAATGTTCCAATTTTGTTGAGCGCATTCTTGTAATATGGATTCTATTTACATTACTTCTTATGTTAGTTCTAGGATGATCCCTTAGTTTCACCCTTAAATTAGACGCATAAGAGGCATATTCCACATATGTATAACTTATGCTATTCTTGTGAGGCCAACAAAAACTTAGGTTATCCTCATAATGCACTTTCCTATAGAGAAACTTAAATTACTCACACTCGTTGATAAACATTTTTCAGGACAAAGGCGTGGGTGTAGCTCCATCTAGCTTGGATGTATCACTTTTGTTCTTGTTTGAGTTACCTTGTATATAGGAATGCTTCTAAGTATAACCATGTAGTGAGCATTGATGTAATTCTCTTTCAAGCAAATTGTATCTTTGAAAACATTTGATGTAATGTAATGAGGCCGAGGGCCATTTTATTTTAATGTTTACTTTTGCTACTTCAATGTACCCATGTATGTATTTATCTCATTCCATGATTCGTTTCATTTGGGATTGACTTTAGAGGCCTTAGAGATCAGTTTTGGGCAATGGAAAACAATGTACCAAAAATTGAGTTTTTTTTTCTTTTCTTTTTTTTTTTGAAATTTTTGTCACAGTTACTATTCATCGATTTTTTTTTTTTTTTTTTTTACAACCGAACAGACCACTCCGAGACTTTCTCGGTGTATTTGAGCACCGCATATATTCAATTTAGACACTGGGAAACCTTTCGGCAGCTTACTTTCAGTCCTTGGGCAGAATTCAAAGTTACTATTTATGCATTGGACATATTCTTCACCCGATCTTGCAACAGTCATAACTCCCTCAATCCAGATCCAAATTAGGTCATTCTTGAGTCTAATTTCAAGAATTTTGAGTTTGATTTCCAATGGTATCAATACAATTTTCAGATTCCATTCCTACTGAGAGATATTATCATTTAAGTGGGACAATGTCGGGAAATCACTTGACCGGAAGGGGGTATTTTTGGAAAATCATGACTAAAGGTCTTAGAACCTCTTGGGATGCTATAAATTGATTATATTGGATTGAGTACACTTCATTTGACTTGTTTTGAGTCAAATTTCTCCATCATTGGGTAAAATGACCATTTTACCCCTGGTTCCATATTTTGTCCATTTTGACCTTAGTTTCCGCATTCATCTTCTATTTGAGTCTCGTAACTTCTTATAAGGTCACTTTGTTGTATTAGAGGTAGTTTCTATCTCTAGAGACCTCTTTTCGTTTCTTACTTTCGCGTTTCGGACTCGATATTTGGTCAGTTTTCGGGCTACTCCCTACGCTCTAGGTATAGAAATTCGGGCCATCACAAGTATCTCTCGGTTTTGGGTTTGGGCTTGATTAACCTGTGTCTCGGAGTCGAAGGGTATCACATAAGACCAACGTCCCAAACATTTTCTTAACATATATCCCAAACTTTTCTCACCGGCCATGACACATATACTGTTGCGGTAGAGAGGATTTTGATCCCACAAACTAACCCAAACAAAACCTCACTTTCTTCCCTTAAAACATAATTAAATTAAATCACACTCCAATACTCATAACCATGAATGAATGGTAAGACATTGTAAATATTCCTTTATCGGCCACTCATGTACTCTACAAATCTTATGATTTTTTTTCCTCACAAACAAACATTAAAACCCAAAATAAGTTTACAATAAAACCCTCCACTCCAGCAAAAAATCTAAAGAGACCTCTGGAGGTATTTGTATTTGCTTTAAACCAAATGCGTTTACGTATTAACCAGCGATCAATTAAAATACAACATTAATTTACTATTTATGGGTTTCTTCCACTTATGTCCCTTTCTTCTTACTAATTATTTTTGTTTATGCTTTCATTTCTTATGGAAATCAGAGGATTTCCTTGCAAATAAAATATGAAAATTAGAAATTGTACCTCTTGTGCCTCTCTGCTCCGGTGTTCCAGTTTAAATTTGGACAAAAAATGACCTACTATACGAAGAAGTAAAGTCCTACTTCTATTTGAAAACACAGGTAAGGAGAAATAGAGTCATGCTTCTACTTGGAAAGAAATCAAAATCTGAATATTTTGGGACAGAAGAAATGCTGCTTCTATTTGGAAACAAATCGAAGCATGTGTTATTTTGGGAGAGAATAGAGGTTGCTTTTATTTGGGGAGAATAATGGGAGAGAATAAAGGCTGAATAGATATTTTGGGAGAGAAGAAAGATGGGCATGATTTGATTTGAAATGGGTTGCTCAAAATAAGAGAGGGAAGGAGAATACATATTTGTCAATAGTGTGTGTATATATATATATATATATACAGAAATTGTGTATAAAACTAATATAGATTGTCACCCTCTTTAGTTAATACTATTCATTTACTAAAATGGAGGAAACCAAACAATTCATTGTGTTTTGTTTCTTCAATTAAGCATTTAACCAAACAATTCATTTGCATAAAACACAACAACTATATCTTAAATTGTCATATTTATAAACAAAGCGTCTTTCTTACTTCACAACAAGAAAATATTATTCTACCGATAAAAAGAGATTCAAAAGTATATGTATAAACATATAAACTGTATATATATGTAGAGAGAAAAACAACGAGTAAAAAAAAAATGGATTCGTAAGAGACTCCTTTATTGTTTGTCATGCATGTTGCAATGAGCTTGATTTTCTTAGTGGATTTTCTGCACTCATGCTCCTTCTAAACACAAGATCCGGGGACTTCAAAAGCAGGATTCAATAGTTTCTTGAATTTTTTTTTTGGTATTTTAGAATTATATAGTTCTAAGAATATAAGAATATTTTGATATTTTAAAATAAATTCTTTGGTATTTATAAGTATTTTATTTAATGTATTTTATTTAATTCAATTAAATTGAAAAGTCATCTTTAAATTAGATTATTTTGATTTTTTTCCAAATGCATTGTTGTGAGTTGTGAACTTTTTTACTATATTTTTCAAAAAAAAAAAAAAAAAAAAAAAAAAAACTTTTTTACTACTGCGAGTGTTAAAAAAGGAAATAAAAAGAAAATTGTGGGCTAGGTCCGTCCTTGAAGTGAGGTGGGTGAGTCGCGGAGGGATGGCAAAGATGGCGGCGCTAGGGTGCGAACCGGTAATGGGTTCGCTAGCACCGTCGAAGAAGAGGGAGTACAGAGTAACCAACAGGCTTCAGGAGGGAAAGCGCCCTCTCTACGCCATCGTTTTCAACTACGTCGACTCTCGATACTTCAATGTCTTCGCCACCGTCAGTGGCAATCGGGTACTCTTCTCTCTCTTTCTTTATTTTGGTTGTATTGTTTTGCTGTCTGTCAAAATTGAAACCAAAAACTACCCACGAATTAGATTTCAAACTTTTCCTCTTGCCTTTTGTCATGTTTTCAATCATATATATGCTTCAACAATTGTGAAAAATTCTTGATTGGGAAAAATTCTTTTCTCTGTGAGTTCTATAATATATATATATATATATATATATATATATATATTGTAATTTGCTTTTTTTTGGGTTTGAGAGTGTCCAAACAAATGGTTGTGATTAGAGAAGCTTTGAGTAGGTCTGCATTACACCAAAAAAAAGAAAAAGAAAAAAGAAAAAAGAAAAAAGAAAAAGAAATAGGCGAAGAAAGGGCTTCTACTGAACAGCTCTAGTTCATTAGTTAGCATCATTTCTTATACACATATATGTTTCTGCTGGGAGTGTTTCTCTCTACCTAATTGGACCAAAGTGCTTTGACCATTGACTTCCATATGCTGGGCTTCTACTGAACAGCTCTAGTTCATTAGTTAGCATCATTTCTTATGCACATATATGTTTCTGCTGGGAGTGTTTCTCTCTACCTAATTGGACCAAAGTGCTTTGACCATTGACTTCCATATGCTGGGCCACTAAACCGGAAGAGCTGAGAACTCCAGAAACCTAGAAAGCTGAGACTTCCAGGTTCGACCTCTGTTACTCATCCTCGGAGCTCTCTTTCTGCTCCGTCTTCTTCTTCTACTCCTCCTTGTGGGGTGTTGAGAAGTGATGGTGGCGTGGAGGATGGTTGTGGTCAATAGAGTGATTTTTCTGGGTCTATTGTTCCACGGATTGATGGGTCAGCGAATAATATCTCAAAGGATGTGTCGGGAAGTGTAGGCAGTTCTGATGGGGTGATGGTTTGTGTGGGAAGAGATCTTCACTTCAAATTGACAGACGATTTAGCTGTGGCTCTGCTCAAAGAGCTTTGGCTTTTTGTAGCCTTGAAAGGTTTAAATTGTTTTCCGTCCGATTCAGAGGTGAGCGATATTCACAGTTTGATGAAAGTTGATCCGGTTGATTCTGGAACAGATTTGGATATGCAGATGGGTATGTACGTTAATGTCAAAGAGAGTGAGGGGGAGGAGAATGGAGATTGGGCTTCCTCTCATCAGGTTTGTTCTAATGATTTATATCCGTGGATGGAGACAGACCAAACTGTTGTGGGCATAGTGGAACCTTTGGTAGTTGTGCGACCCGATAGTTTAACGACGACTAATGATTTGGGTATGGAATGGGTGGTAGAGAATATTGGTGTGGTCAGTGAAGCGTTGGGTGTCTCTTCAGAGGGTAATGAAGATCAAACTTTGTCCATTCTTCATGCAATTGTGGCAGGGAAAGATGATACAAAGACTTTTTAGGGCACGAAAGAGGTTAAAAATAGAAGAGCTTTAACGTTTCGGAAAGGGGAACAGGAGGTGAAGAACCTCATTTCCTTTGTTAACTATGAGGGGAATGAGGGGGTGACAAGAGAAAGGGGAAGGACCAGAAATGGGAAATAGGGATGAGGGGAGATGATTGTTTTTGGTTCTTAATGAAGTTACGAAGTATTACGTGGAATGTTCGTGGTCTAAATGATTCGGACAAAGGAGGGTGGTCAAGGTGGCTGTAAGGAAGTGGAGCGCCCATGTTGTCTGCTTGCAAGAAACTAAGATGGCCTCTATTTCCGACGGGGTGGTTAGAAGCCTTTGGGGAGGAAGGTTCGTGGAATGGGAAGTGTTAAACGCCTTCGGCATTTCAGACGGAATTTTTCGGACGGAATTTTAGTTATGTGGGATCGAAGGTGACCGTCAAGGACAAACACTTGGAAAGGGATTTACTCTTTGTCTTGTGTGTTTAAGATGGAGAATGACAATTTCAGATGGGTCTTTTTTGGAGTCTATGGTCCAGTTATCGATATTGACAAACCTGCCTTTTGGGAAGAGCTATGCTATGTTAAGGGATTGTGGTCGTTGCCTTGGTGCTTAGGCGGGGACTTTAATTCTGTTAGGTCTCCGTTTGAGAGGTCCACAGGGGGTAGGTGGTCCTTGGAAATGACCCAGTTTTTAGAATTTATTGATAGTTACTTTCTAATTGATCTGCTAATGGAAGGGGCAGCCTTTACTTGGTCTAATGGCAGGGATCTGGTTACTTTTTTAAGACTGGATAGATTCTTGATTTTTGGGGAGTGGGAAGAGAAATTCTCAGATGTTACTCAGGCAGCTCTCGTTAGGATGACATCTGACCATGTGCCCTTAGTTCTCGATTGCGGAGGTTTGAGATCTCAGCGCACACCTTTCCATTTTGAAAATATGTGGCTGAGATTAGAGGATTTCCAAGGGAAAGTCTAGTCTTGGTGGGGGGAGGTGACATATACAGGTTCTGCTAGCTTTGTTTTAGCTAGGAAATTTCAGATTCTTAAAACTGAGATTAAGAGGTGGAATAAAGAGGTGTTTGGGAATCTTGAAAGGAAGAAGAATAGAGTTTTAGTTGATATTGCTGAGCTCGATCGTCTTGATGAGTTGGGACAGGATGTAGAGTCTCTGTGCTCTAGGAGAGCCTCTTGTTAGGCGATTTTTGCTGAGATCGCTGCTATGGAGGAGATTTTGTGGCGTCAGAAATCTCGGGCATTGTGGCTAAAAGAAGGGGACTGTAATACAAAATTCTTTTACAGGCTTGCTAACGGTCACAGAATGTGTAATCACATCGGCCGTATCCCAGTGAATGGTTCAGAGCTGTGGAGAGAGGATGAGGTGCGTGGGGGAATTGCTTCTTTTTATCAACAGCTTTACACTGAGATATTGGGATGGAGACCTAAGCTTGATGGTCTTCAATTTAATACCATTTCTGCGCTGGATAGTGACAGGCTTGAGGTTCCCTTCACTGAAGAGGAAGTGCTTAAGGCGTTATCGAGTTGCAATGGTGATAAAGCTCCGGAACCAGATGGATTAACTATGCGGTTTCTTAAGGAGAGCTGTGAGGTGGTGCGTAGTGAGGTGGTGGGCACTTTTCAGGAATTTCATTCTCATGGCATATTTGAGAAGTCACTAGATGCGTCTTTTATTGCCCTTCTAAGAAGCACGGACACGGATACGACACGACATGGACACGGCGACACGGCAAATCCAAAAAAATTAGGACACTGATGCTGTCCATCCGTTCAAAGATTTCCCAGAAGCTTCGAGAAGTCATCGTCGTCCTAAGGGGCATCTGCAGGGACATCGTATGAAGAAGAAAGTGCTTCTGCCCCCTCTTCGCAGAAGATGTCTCGAAAGGAAAAACAGAAGTGGATTCCGGTTTCGCAGATTGGCACTGGATTGGGTAAGTCTTTTGTATCGCCTGATCCTTCTCCTACTCTACCTTCTTCTTCCTCTTTTCACCTTTGTGGGGTTTCTCGACGAAACTTGGTACCGAAAATAGGAGTGGTGTCTTCTGTTTCAAAGTGCTTGTCTTCGATTTTTGAAAGGGAGCCGGTGCCAGTTTTTGAGAAAAGATCTGGTGAAGACGGCAGTGTTGTAATGGGTCCCTCTCGGTTGTGTGATGTTAGCAGTGACGGAATTACTGTGTGTGGGCCGGGATGTGAAGATAAGAATTGACGATGTTTCAGCTGTTGTGCTATTAAACGATTTGAGGGCTCATCTTGTGTCAAAGGGTTCTCTTTTTGAGCAGAATGATCTTTTGGCTGATGAGGTGTTTGGGACCCCACTTTCTAGTTGCTCTCCATCTTTGTCATCTGTTGAGATTGGGGAGGATGGATCGTGTTCCTCTGTTCATGGGGATTTGGGCATGGTTTTGTGGAACGGATGCGAGTCTGATGTTGATTTGCTTACACCTTTGGCTGTTGTTAGACCGGATGGGAATTCTGTGGAAGGGATGGGATTTGATGCAGGGTTGGCTGATTTGGAGAATGAATGGTTGAAGGAAAAAGGAGTTGAGATAGGTTCTCTTTTGGGTGTATCTTTTGAGGGTCGGATGGAGGAGGCGATAGATTTATTCCTTGATGTTCTTAATGCTCAGTTTGCGGGTAGAACGGATAGTAGGGGGAGTGTTCCAGTGGCAAGAGAGGAGGAAGGGAGTCCAAGTCCCTCGACTCTCGTTACTTATGAAAGGAGGAGGAGGGGGGCTAGGGGGAAGGTCAGTGGAAGGAGGGATGAGACGATCAACTCTACTGTTTCCTTATGAAGCTTCAAATTCTTTCATGGAATGTCCGGGGTCTCAACGACCCGGCTAGAAGGAAAGTGGTGAAATCGGTAATTTGAAAAACGGGCGGTCATCTAGTGTGCCTTTAAGAAACCAAGATTACCTCGATGTCAGATGTGATTGTCCGAAGTTTGTGGGTTGGGAGATTCGTGGAGTGGTTTGCCTTGGATGCGATTGGCTCTTCGGGTAGTATCCTGATCATGTGGGATGTCCGATGGATCTCTTTGTTGGACTCTCAGGCTCGGCTTTTCTCGGCATCCTGTGTTTTATCCATGGTGGAGGATGGCTTTCGTTAGGTTTTTTCTGGAGTCTATGGGCCTACGGAGGATAGTGATTGCCATTTGCTATTGGAGGAGCTGGGGGAGATTCGTAGTCAATGGTTGCTGCCATGGTGTATCGGGGGTGCGTTCCCCTTTTGAGAGGTCGACAGGGGCAGGTGGACGGCTAATATGATGGCCTTCTCAGAGTTTATTGATGATTTCGGTTTGCTTGATTTGCTTTTGGTGGGTGGGCCTTTCACTTGGTCCAGTGGACGTTTTCCTCCGTCTCTTTCACGTCTTGATAGTTTCTTGGTGTCGAGTGATTGGGAGGAGAAATTTTCTGATGTTGTTCAGGCCCTTTTGGCTCGTCCTTTGTCTGACCATGTTCCGTTGTTTTTAGATTGTGGTGGGATGCGTAGCAGAAATTCTCCTTTTAGATTTGAGAATATGTGGCTCCGAGTTGAAGGTTTTTTGGAGAGAGTCCGATCCTGGTGGGCGGGATATGGAGTGGCTGGCACTCCTAGTCAT